TAGATGGGGACGGGGCAGTCAGAAGTGGTATTTGCCGGTTCTCCGAATTACTCAAAATTTCCACTACCATTTCTCCCGAACTGGTCCGAACTGGCTGAATACCACCTCTGACCACCTCTGACCCATTAGAAAAGATCCTGATGTTGGGAAAGGTTGGAGGCAAAAGGGGATGGCAGAGGATGAGATAGGTAGACAGTGTCACTGGCACTGTACTCAGAGAGACAGTGGAGGACATGGAACCTCCATAATCCATGAGGTTGCGAAAAAACAGACACAACTTAGCAATTGAACAACAAAATTTATCAAATTCCTGGTTTCTTCTACTCAAGGGCAGGATATTGGTGTTGTGCAGGACAGGTAGCAGGCCATCTTGCTTCTGAGGATGCCAGTGAAACATGTCAAACTCAATTTCATTCAGGGCCACATCAGGGTTGTGCTTGACCTTGGGGGGGCTGGGCTGGGTGTGGCCAGGGTGGGTTTGGCCAGCTTGACATCACTTATGTCAGGGGCACCTGTAGTGGCCCGAGTGTCCTGCCAGAGAAAACGGGCTCTCGAGCTCCATTTTCGGCTGCAACTGCCTCCTGCAACCCTCTGCAAGAGAAAACAGATCTCAGAAGGGCCGCATTGCGCTCTGTTTTCATTGGCAGAGGCACCGCAGGCCGGTCCTTTGCTGTTTCCAGGGCAGCCCCGCAGGCCAGATTTAAGCACCCTGTGGGCGGATTCCAGCCCTGGGCCTTTAGTTTGACACTCCTGTTCTAGAGTATCTAACTAGGATCAGACCATAATATTATCATCTGCTGCTAACTGTTTTCATAAGTCTATTTCTTGGAAACATATTTATGCTTGCAGTTTTTTAGGGCATGCAAAAATTATTATTATTATAGTTGCTGTCAGCATCTTTGTTTTCTCCTCACCAGAATCTAAATTAAGAAAAGGATTTGCATTTGCAAATAAACACTAAATCATAGGACTAAATAAATTTTACTTGAAATAGAGCAGGTGGCAAGCCTAGCAAGTGAACTGTTGTGTTAAAATGTTGTCAGGTATTCTATCGTTAAAGTTTTAAATATGTTTGAATATGACATTAAACTTCCCTGCCGGTACAGATCTATTCATGCTTCCACACTAAGACTGATATAGGAAGACATGGAACAATATAATATATATCAGAATAAATAATCAGTGTTGAATCCTTCTATTAAATTTATCAGGAACAGTCTAAAAGCACTGTCTTTAGTAGGTTATGTTGGTTTTATTTAGGGTTACTGACATCCTAACTGGAATGCAGGTAGACCTTGACTCATGACCAGTCATTTAAGGACTGGTCAGTTATGACAATCTTGGCCATCATAAAATGTTGCACACACATTCATAAAGCCCATAGTCACATGATCAGATTTCACGAGGTTGCCAACCAGCTTGCATTTACAACCAGTTGCCAAGCAACCTGCAACCATTTGCAAGGTTTTCTGCTGGCTTTTCCAATGGGAAGTAAGCAAATGATTTCCCAATGCAAGGGGAAGAAAGGGAACTAAAATCATTCATGGGGATACAGGAATAGAGCTGAAATTCTAAAATTTCAGTTCTGTTCCTGTAGCTCCATGAAGGATTTTCCCTCCCTGCATGGAAGGAAGGGGAAAGTCTTTGGCAGACTGCAGGAATAGAGGTGTAATTTTTGGGATTTCAGCTCTCTTCCTACAGCCCCTTGATGCAAGGAAGAGAATTGAAATCCTTTGGAAGGAACATTTGAAAGTAAAAGGCTGCCTGCAAGGTGGATTACAGCTTCACACAGAGCTGAACTCCTTCAGTAGGCAGCCCTTTTGTTCTTAAGAACTGCCTGCCAGGAGAGCTTTGCACAGAGATGAGATCCTTCGGCAGGCAACTTTTTGGGCCATCCATTTAACAACTCTGCATATCACTTAACCGCAACCAGTAGTGCCAGGATTACTAGTTCTGCTGACTGCCAGCTGCCTGCAATTTGGCAGATCGAATCTCACCAGACTCAAGGTTGACTCAGACTTCCATCCTTCAAGGTGGGTAAAATGAGGACCCAGATTGTTGGGGGCAATATGCTGACTCTGCAAATTGCTTAAAGAGGACTTTAAAAGCACTGTGAAGCGGTATATGTCCAAGTGCTATTGCTAGTGTTATTGCAGACTTGGAGCAAAGCAATCACGTGGGTGTCTCACTTAATAACCACCTCACTAAGTGATCAAGATTTCAGTCCCAGTTGTCGAAAGTTGAGGACTAGCTGTATCAAAATGTCTAACTCCTAGATCAAATATCTATTATTTGAGGTTGCAGTTCTGTATGTATATAACATGTGTAAAAGTTTTCATTACAGAGAGTTTTCTTACAAAATGCTTCATATATCAAGAATGGATTATATGGTTCCTTTTCTGTTCAGCACGTATATAAGTAAACCTTACATTCTGCAAAAAGATAAAAGTATAGAAGTTGCAAAGTCTGCAAGATTTTTCATTCTCAACTGCATGCTTGATTCCTTCCAACCCATTGTTCCATAACAAGTCACAAGTTACAAGTCAAGAAAAAAAACAAATTGAAGCTTCATCCATTATCACCACACTTAACTTGGCATAAAAGTGTGACAGCTGCTTTTAGATTTTCGGTCAGTAAGTAGATGGTTTATGGGGATTTTTCAACTTTTAACTATTTGCTAGGTTCCTTGTGTCTTTCATAACTGACATAGTAGTTAAAACAATATAATGTATTTACATTTTGAACAAGTGTGCAAAAAAGGTATCTTATAAATCTCATGAATCTCATTTCAATGAATGTCATTGTACTGATAAGTACAAGCGTATAGAGTTTAAGGCAGGAGTGGGATTCTACCAGTTCTCACCTATTCGCTAGAACCGGTTGTTAATATTCTAAGCAGTTTGGAGAACCGGTTGTTAGAAGAAATTACTGGCCTAATCCTGTAAGGAAGGCAGGAAGGAAACATTCTGGTGTTGCTTACAGAAACTGCCTCTCCATTAACCCTTATTACATTCTTGGTGGGACTAGACTTCCTGTCTCTGGAACTTCTCTGGAGTTTTTCCCTCTCCTTTGCTGGTACTTTGCTTGTGTGGAGTGACCATTCAAAGTTACAATGGCACTGAAAAAAGTGCCTTATGACCATTTTTCACACTTAGGACTGTTGCAGCATCCCCACAGTCATGAGAGGCCAGGTGAGGAGATGCGTGTCTCGATGTGAGTGATGTTGAGTTGGCCACGCCCAGCCAGTAACATGACCACCAAGCCATGTCCACCCAGTCACATGACCACCAAGCCACGCCCACCACCTAAGCCACACCCACAGAACCAGTTGTTAAAAAAATGAATCCCACCCCCTGTTTAAGGCAATTGCATTTTTGCATGCAAGCAAAGGGTGTTGAACTTTTTCAGAAATACAGAAAATAATGTAGCATCACTGTTTCTGCTTTAAAAGCAAAGCTTTGTCATGCTCTAGCATTGTGATGGTGAACCTATAATATGTGTGCCGGAAGTGGCATGTAGAGCCATGTTCCGAGCTGTCACCCAGAACAGATCTACTGCGCATGCATGCGCAGCTCCCACCAGCCAGCTGATTGTCAGGTATCTGCTGCGCATGTGCAGGGGTGAAGTGCACAAAGGAGACACGCATGCATACGCAGGGGGGGATGCATGCATACGCAGGGGGTGGCGGTGCAGGGGGATTGCAGGTGCATGCGCAGAGGCACGTAGCGCATGCGGGGGGTTGTGCATGTATACGCAGGGGCGGGGGGGGTCACACATTGCATTATGGGTGCAGACAAGTGTGTGCACACCCGTGTGCGTGCACACTTTCAACACACGACTACGAAAAGCCATCACTGCTCTAGCACATGAAAAATAAAACCTGTAAATCTGTTTAAGGACATATGTAGGAGGATATGGGGCAAAGTACATTGTTTTTTAAAGCAGACTATGGTATTGTTTGAGACTTTAGGTACTAAAGGATAAATATAAACCTATTATAGGAACAGATTACAAATCCAGAACAAATGATTTAAAATAATGCATTCACTGGATTTAAATTCAGTAAGATTGATTGAGTTTTAAAAGAAAGTTTATTTTCAACTCCTGATACAGTTTTGTGATTAAAACATTTGCTTGTATAGCTTTTCAAGACTCTGTCTGCATATTTAAATTAATCTCAAGTATTCATTAGATATTATTGCCATAAAATATATATGTACATGCCAATTCCTATATGATTAAATGAAAGGATGGTTCTGTATTCTAAATGCATTATTTTCTCAAGTGAAACTCAAAAAATTAGAATATTGTGCAAAAGTTCATTTATTTCAGTAATGCAACTTAAAAGGTGAAACTAATATATGAGATAGACAAATTACATGCAAAGCAAGATAGGTCAAGCTGTGATTTGTCATAATTGTGATGATTATGGCTTACAGCTCATGAAAACCCCAAATCCACAATCTCAGAAAATTAGAATATTACATGCAATCAATAAAACAAGGATTGTACATAGAACAATATCGGACCTCTGAAAACTATAAGCATGCATACGTACTCAGTACTTGGTTTGGGCCCCTTTTGCAACAATTACTGCCTCAATGCGCCGTGGCATAGAAGCTATCAGCCTGTGGCACTGCTGAGGTGTTATGGAAGACCAGGATGCTTCAATAGCGGCCTTCAGCTCTTCTGCATTGTTTGGTCTCATGTCTCTCATCTTTCTCTTGTCAATGCCCCATAGATTCTCTATAGGGTTCAGGTCAGGCGAGTTTGCTGGCCAATCAAGCACAGTAATCCCATGGTCATTGAAACAGGTTTTGGTGCTTTTGGCATTGTGGGCAGGTGCCACGTCCTGCTGGAAAATGAAGTCAGCATCCCCATAAAGCTCGTCTGCAGAAGGAAGCATGAAGTGCTCCAAAATCTCCTTGTAGACAGCTGCATTGAATCTGGACTTAATGAAGCACAGTGGACCAACACCAGCAGATGACATGGCTCCCCAAATCAACACAGACTGTGGAAACTTCACACTGGACTTCAAGCATCTTGCAGTGTGTGCCTCTCCATTCTTCCTCCAGACTCTGGGTCCTTGGTTTCCAAATGAGATGCAAAAGTTGCTCTCATCAGAAAAGAGGACTTTGGACTATTGAGCAACAGACTAGTTCTGTTTTTCTTTAGCCCAGGTAAGACGCTTCTGACGTTGTTTGTTGTTCAGGAGCGGCTTGACAAGAGGAATATGACATTTGAAGCCCATGTCCAGGATCCGTCTGTGTGTGGTGGCTCTTGATGCACTGACTCCAGCCTCAGTCCACTCCTTGTGAAAGTCCCCAACACTTTTGAATGGCCTTTTCCTGACAATCCTCTCCAGGCTGCGGTCATCCCTGCTGCTTGTGCACCTTTTTCTTCCACACTTTTCCCTTCCACATCACTTTCTATTAATGTGCTTTGATACAGCACTTTAGGAACATGCAACTTCTTTTGCAATTACCTTTTGAGGCTTTCCCTCCTTATGGAGGGTGTCAATGATGGTTTTCTGCACAACTGTCAGGTCAGCAGTCTTTCCTATGATTGTGCTTCCTACTGAACCAGACTGAGAGACCATTTAAAGGCTCAGGAACCTTTTGCAGGTGTTATGGCTTAATTAGCTGATTAGAGTGGGACACTTTGAGCCTAGAATATTGAACCTTTTCATAATATTCTAATTTTCTGAGATTGTGGATTTGGGGTTTTCATGAGCTGTAAGCCATAATCATCACAATTATGACAAATCATGGCTTGAACTATCTTGCTTTGATGTAATGAGTCTATCTCATATGTTAGTTTCACCTTTTAAGTTGCATTACTGAAATAAATGAACTTTTGCACAATATTCTAATTTTTTGAGTTTCACCTGTATTCCCTTCCATTTCAGCTGGAAGTGGCAACAATTCAGTCCAGAATTTTGCATGCAGTTGAATGAAATTATTAACAACATTACTATCCATAGCTGTATGCTGAAAAAAACCTGTTTATTTCAACAGTAATTTACTAAGTTTACAAAAGAAAAGCTATGCTAGGACTAATACTGCAGGTTCAAAAGCTGTACCTATAGCCATGTGTTGGGTGGTAAATAATTATGAGTGGATGATTCCTAGAAGAAGAATGAATTCATCAGTTAAATAATAAGTTTGACAACAATTCTTCAGAGCACACAATGTAAGGTACAATATTGTCACTGGTGGTTTAAAAAAATCTGTCAAATGTGTAGATGAGCTTTTGGCATAGAAGAGCTTATTTTTGCTTGCTGGAGAGTTCATAATACAATAACTCACAGCAGATGTGATTTAAACCACAAATGTTTTGCAGATATTTAACCATTGAAAGGCTTATTTAAGGGATAAATATGTTTATTGAGACATCTTGCCTTCACAAAAAAAGGGAAATGAGGACGGTGTACCATGATCCTAACATTTCTGAGATTGTGTGTATTCTGCAGTAGCAACTGTATAATTGCACAGAGAACACTATGCGTGTATGTGTGTGGGGGTGCATCTTCTCTGGTAGGACCAGTTGAAGCAGAGATACAAGATATAGGCAGAGGTAGCTGCAGCCATGAACTGCCCAATTTGCATCTGCCAGTTTAAGACAATTAAACTCACTGCTACAGTTCATGGGACTCCTATGTAATCACTGTCATAATTTCCCAAACTATTGGAACCCATCCTAAAACAGTGCGCAGTTATCCTCATCAAAGGTGCCTTAAACTTCTGATTACCTAATCAGTGTGTCTGGTAAGTGACTTACATGACATCATAACAATCAGAATTAGCTACTACCCGTCCTCATCCTTTCCTCCCTTTTGTTCTGTGGAAGCCCCATGAGAGATAATACAGGAGATTGGCACTTGTAGGGAGTGGAAGAACTAAGGAACAGAAATTAATAAGGAAATGATGCAGCTTGCACAACTAAAATTTAGCAATTCATGTGGAGTCTGAAGTAAATTAGCTTAGTCATCTGATACCTTTGACAGTGTGGAATACTGTGGCACTAATCTGGGATTGATACCAAAACCCCATGTGGACAATGAAGCATAGTTTCAGCAGAGTTGTAGGAAAGTTAGTAAACATTCCTCCTGTCTAGCAGTGCTGAGATGTTAACAATCCTCTTGGATATGTCAATATCTCAGAATTTTAGGAAGTCATAATGAGAGGTTTCTTGGTTCATTCTCTTCTTGCTTTCCCCCAATCCAGGGGTCTTAAATTAGTGGAGAAATGTCTGTTATGAATATTTATTACTTTGCTATCCTGCCTCCATCCAAATTAGCTTTCTTGGAACCTATCTATCATCTTGATGGACTCCATTTCTATTTCCTTGTCTTCCATTCTTCAATTTCATATTATATAAGAACACTAAACTAGGGACAGGTAAAAAATTAAGCCAGAGCCAGAATCCCTCAGATAAATGTTCCTTTGTCCTTGTTGAGTAAAAACTTATAAAGTTTTGTATTATGCTATAGATCTGACAGAATGTTCATATTTTATTTTGTGGACGTGTTCATGTATTGAAAACTCTTCTATTCTGGAATTATTTTTGTATTTAACATGGGACCTTTATTTTACAAAAGAACTTGTGAGAAACATCTGGCCATTCTGGTAGATGATATTCTGGTAGAAGAATGAGCCAACAGTGTGCTGCCACTGCCAAAAGAGCAAAGCAGTCTTTAGATGCATCAAAGAGATATGTATCATCTTGAGATGATGAGAAACGATAGTTTAATTGGTCAGACCACACCGGTTTTGGTCTCCACCTTAAAGAAGGATGTTGAAGAACTGGAAATAATGCAGAGAAGAGGAGCAAATATGGCGAGGGGTTTGAAGGCTAAATTCTACAAAGAATTATGTTTAGCCAAAAGAGAAAGCTAAAAGGAGACAGGACAGTAATGTTCTAATATTTGATGGGGTGTTATTAGAAAGTGGGTGTGAATTTATTCTCCATGTTACCTGAGGATCGGACAACAATTTACAAATTAATATTATTGTTATTAAAATCAATATTGTGTTTTAAGAAGGATTAAGAAGTGTTAAATCCTAACTAAAAAAAATTCAAATAAATTATGGAGGAAATTTACATGGGAAAATGGCCCACCAAGGATTTTCACAAATATCATTAAGTTTATAGCCTATAAATTATATTGATTGGAATGAACATATTATCATCCTTTGTAAATTTTATTGGATGTCCCCCCAAATTATTTATATACAGGTATTTCCATTAAAGTTTTGGCAATTACTTGGATCAACATATAGTAGAAAGGGGGGTGTTGTTCCATTTATTGGATGGTGCACAGCTAGATGTTTGGATTTTGATATTTGGGACACATGAATATTTAACTCTGGAAGAATTCTCCTTTAAAAATAGGTAGCAAAATGTTTTATAGGAAACTATTAATGGAATCACTTTAAATCTCTGATTTTGAAATAGTTATTTTTACATTTTTTTTCTTCAAATAGAATTTTGCTACCGTAACTCACAACAATGGCATTCTACTCAACTCAAACAATATCTTGATAGCTAAATATAGGTAGTCCTCAAATTATGACCCATCACTTAACGATTATTGGAAGTTACAGCAGCCTTCAGGGGTGGGTTTCTACTGGTTCACACTGGTTCTATAGAACCAGTTGTTAACGTCACCGGTAGTTCTAAGAACCAGTAAAACTGACCCCTGCCTGGCCCCACCCCTCTTCGCTGCTCCTATAGACCAAAACCCAGTTTTTATTACTGCGCATGTGCGAAAATCCCTTCCTCATTCTCCCCCGCCCGCTCCTCCCTTCGCTGACCCAGCCCCCACCCCATCCGCCGCTCCAAAGTAAAAAAACCCACTTTAAAAAAAAAGGGCCTTTTTTTACTGCACACGCACGAAAATCCCTTCTGCATTCTCCCCTGCCCACCCCTCCCTTCGCTGCCCCAGCCCCCGCCCCATCCGCCGCTCCAAAGTAAAAAAAAAAACTATTTTTTTTTAAAAAGGTTTTTTTTACTGCACACACGTGAAAATCCCTTCCGCATTCTCCCCCACCTGCCCCTCCCTTCGCTGCCCTGGACCCTATCCGCTGTTCCAAATTTAAAAAAAACATTTAAAAAAAAAACTGGTTTTTTTTTTATTGCGCACGCACAAAAATCCCTTTCTTATTCTTCCCCGCCCTCCCCGCCCCGCCCCTACTTATAGTGCATGTGCACTAATTACAAAAATTTACCCGTGCGGCGCCATTGCTCACACCTGCAGCAGCAGAAGCAGCAGCAGAGCCAGCCAGCCAGCTTTCCATCCCTGCCTGCCTTCTGCCGCCCTGCTGAGTGAGGGCAAGCCGCAAGCCACCACCACTAACCATCCTCACCCGGCCAGCATGCCTTGCCCTGCCTGCCTCCCGCCGCCGCCGCTAGCCATTCTCGCCCGCCCGGATTGCCTACCCCACTGCCGGCCTCCGAAGACATGGATCTGTAAGTATGATCTTCCAATCCAGTCGTCTACCTTCCGCTGCCAGTCCCAGTCGCCCACCCCATCTTCCCTCACATGCGGCCCTCCATTGTTGCTGCTTTGCCTTTCCACCACTGATTGGTAGTGAGGAGACAAAGCAGCAGCTCCTGCTGGCCCAGTCCCCTAGTTCCTCTTGCTGCTGCCGCTGCCAGCTGACTCCCAGGCCTGGCACTGCTGCCTCACCCGCCATGGCCCAAGGGTTGCTGCCTTGTCTTACCACCACCGATTGGTAGTGAGGAAGCAAAGCAGCAGTTCCTGCTGGCCTGGTCCCCTACCTCATCTTGCCACTCCCTCCAGCCGACTCCCAGGCCTGGTGCCGCTGCCTTGCCCACATGGCAGCCGCCATCTTGGCTAGGCCACCACCGGCCCACCACCTTCCCTCACCCGCCACGGCCCAAGAGTTGCTGCCTTGCCTTTCCACCACCAATTGGTAGTGAGGAGGCAAAGCAACAAGTCCTGCTGGGCTGGTCCCCTACCTCCTCCTGCCGCCACACCCGCAAGCCTGATCAAGAGCTGACTCCTGGGCCGGCCGGCCTTGCCGCAGCAAGCTAGAAGACTGAGGAGGACCCCGGCATAGTTGGCTAGCCAACTTGCCTGTCTCCTTTTTGGTAAGTTGCTTTTTTATATTTATATATTTATTTATTTTTTACTATCTTTTTTTGTTTTTATTAATCATAAAAACAAAACAGATACTAAAGAAATAAATAAACACATAAATAAAAATTATTTTACTATTCATCTTGATGTTTCTTTAAGCAAAGAAGAAACATCAAGATGAATAGTAAAATAATTTTTATTTATGTGTTCATTTATTTCTTTAGTATCTGTTTTGTTTTTATGATTAATAAAAACAAAAACAGATAGTAAAAAATATATATAAATACATAAATAAAGAAAAGTAACTTACCAAAAGGGAGACAGGCAACTTCTTGTTACATTGATGTTGCTATATACAATATATAACATCAATGTAACAAGAAGTTGCCTGTTTCCCTTTTGGTAAGTTGCTTTTCTTTATTTATGTATTTATATATAAATGGCCACCTGCCTGGGCCTTGCCAGGGTCTCCCCAGGCCTTGGAAACTGGCAAAAAGCACTTGCTAAGCAATTGGCCACTAAGCGAGCACCTGGTCATTAAGTGAGGACCACTTAAATTTGGGTTGCCAGCCACATGGCCACACCCACCCCAGTCACATGACCATGTAGCCACGCCCACCACCCAGTCACATGACCACATAGCCACGCCCAACCAGCAAGCCACTCCCACCCGTCACATGACCACCAAGCCACACCCACAAAATAGGCCACACCCACAGAACCGGTTGTTAAGAAATTTGAATCCCACCCCTGGTGGCCTTGAATAGGATGCCTTTACAGGTAGTCCTCGACTTACAACCACAATTGAGCCCAAAATTTATGTTGCTAAATGAAAGATTTGTTAAGTGAGTTTAGTCCCACTTTACAACTTTTCTTGCCAAATTTGTTAAGCGAATCATTGCAATTGTTAAGTTAGTAACATGGTTGTTAAGTGAATCTGGCATTCTCATTGACTGTGAAGGTCGCAAAAGGGAATCACGTGATTCTGGGAAGCTGCAACCATCATAAATATGAGTCAGTTGCTAAGCGGTTGGATTTTATTCATATGACCATGGGGATGCTGCAACAGTCATAAGTGTGAAAAACTGTCCTAAGTCACTTTTTTCAGTGCCATTGTAACTTGGAACGGTCACTAATTGAACTGTTGTAAGTCAAGGGCAACCTGTACTTCCAATCATCGCAAAAGTTTGCACATGCACACAGACACACCACGGTCATCATGTGACTGCTATCTAGGCACTTTTGCACTTACAACTGGCTGCTAAGTGTCCTGCAATCATGTGATCACCTTTTGAAATCTTCTCTGTTGGCTTCCCCAGGCAGTCAGCGCTTTCCACTTGGATTTCGCCAGGGATGCCAGAGTGTAGAGAAACTCACACACAGCCTCCCAGATTCTTCTCAAGCTACCTGAGGCAGCCCATGCTCTTTAATTATTGCTGCTTTCCCATTCTGGCGCTTGCTGAAATCCAAGAGTGCTAAACCTCCACGCTATTTCTCCTTTTTTGCTCTCAAACTCACCTCTGCTTTGTCTTTTATAAAGGCACATATGTTCTCCTTCTCCACATTCCTGAGCATATCCCTAGAGGAGCAGGCAGCACCAAGTAGATCAACATTGGCTTGGCTGGCTCCTTTAGGAATCTGGGCAGGAATAGGGAGGAAAGTGTTTGCGCATGTGAGTTTGAGACTGAGTAAGAAGAGAAGAAGTGGAGGGGGGGTAGGAGACCAGCCAGAGGGCAAAGAGAAAAGAAAAATAATGTACAGTAATAGACTACATTTACCTGTAGTTCTTTTTTAATTTTTTCCTACTGTGCTTTTAATTTCTATTAAAATTCTCCCTATTCATTTTTTGTACTTTGTAAAATATTGCTTACCCAGAAAAAATAAATACATACTTATGTATGTATATATGTTGAAGAGTTGAAGATGACCAGACCAGAAACAATGGCATTGTTTGTGGGTTTGCAGTTTGAAGCTTGTGGGATACATCAGAATAGAGCTGGAAGGGACCTTGGAGGTCTTCTAGTCCAGCCCCCTGCTCAAGCAGGAGATCCTATAGCTTTTCAGAGAAGTGACTGTCCAGTCTCCTCTTAAAAACCTTGAGTGGTGATGCACCTACAACGTCTGAAGGCAAGGTCACTTAAACTGGCCAATAACTGAGAAAGACAATACCAGACAAATTGAGGACATGCTCTCTCTGCTTCAAACTTGTTTCCTGCCCCCCTCCCCCCCCGAATTTCCTGTATTGTGTTCTGAGTTAACTTTTTCTCTTTTCACAAAATGTAGATCAAATAGTTTCCTCCTCCTTTCACCACACAGTTTTAGAACACGCATGTCAGTATATTTATATTTTGCTGCTTTTCAGAACTTCCTTCCTGATACTAGAGGAGCCATTACAATGAAAAGTTGATTTTTGAATATAATCACAAATAGATTTAGAAGTCTAAATAGTCTGTTTCTTTAATGATACCAGATATTTTTCCAAAAAAAGCTTGTTTTCTCCACAAAACCTATATCCCGGAAAATTTCATTTTAAAGTTATTCTTTGAACTGAGCTGTATTAAATGCAAGCTAGAAGGCAGGGGTACGTCAGGCAATTTCTCCAGTGAGAAACCAAATGTCATCAAATTATGGATATTTTCATTTGTCTCTGAGGTGTAAGGGAGAACAAAAGCTGGTTAGTCAGGAGTATTGAAGAATTTGGTTGTTCAATTTGGTTCTGATTTCCAGAGAATGTTGTAAAATTGGATAAAGCAATAGCAATAGCACTTAGACTTATATATACCATTACATAGTGGTTTTCTGTCCTCTCTAAGTGGTTTACAGACTCAGCTTATTTCCCCCAACAATCTGGTCCTCATTTTACCAATCTTGGAAGGATAGAAGGATGAGTTAACCTTGAGCCGTTCAGAATCGAACTCCTGGAGTGAGCAGTGAGTTAGTCTGCAGTGCTGCATTCTAACAAATGTGCCACCATGGCTCTTCTACCAAAATTATTGGAATGAATAATATTGTTACGTACTTGATTAGCAAATCCTTCCTCATTAAGTGTCTACTCCTTCCATATAGTACATAACTATATAATATTTCGTTGGGCTTCTGATGTTATCCGAGCTTCCTACAGACTTTTCATTATTAGTCTAGATAACATCAATGCACTGGAAAGTGAAGCTTGCAGATTCTTTATATATATTGTAGCTTTCCTTGCAAGTCTTTTTGTGGTATGAGTTCTTTCTTGATTAAAGTATTGTTTCTTCTATTGATTGTTTATTTGATCCTGTTTTCTCTTAATCTGGTGTTGGTTGCTGGGAAAGATGTTTTGTGGGATGTTTGATGCCTTCCTTGACTTTTGGTCATATCTTTTAAATTATGTTTATCTCTATGTGTCAGTTGATCTGATCAGAACCACAGTGCTAGAAATTCTATAGTACTTGTGGATTTGATTTAATTTGAAATGTTGACAGTTTCCTAGTTGTTTCAATATCAAGAATATTTAAGGCTACCATATCTGTAAAAATCTGTTGTGTTAAATATTTCTGTATCTCTTCTACTGATTATTTTCAGCCCAGATATAGTAGCCCATATAAGGTATGTGCACTTGGAATGATTCTTCCATGGGTTGTTATCTTGTAATGTCAGGGTCTAGCAATTCCTAGTGACACTATGAACTCTTAACCGTTGAGAGTGTACATTCCCAGAAAGATCATCCATGACAAGTAGGTCAAAAATAAAGGATCAAACTAAATACAGTCCACTGGAGAAAGAAGATTGTAAAATCCTGCCAAGAAAACCAAATCTTAAGGACAATGCTAAGATGATATTTGGAGGATGAGTCCTCCATATTTGAAGTATCCAGTCAGCTGCTGAGAAGAGCAAACAAGTATGAGTACCAATGGTACTTACAGGAAAGATATCCATTTATTGATGTATCTAGAGGCAAAGGGAGACCACTGCAGCAAAGATGTATTGAATGACAGAACCATAAACCAGAGTATCCTAATGAAAATAATGTCTTGTTCATTGGATCCCCAAAAGTCAGAAGTGACTGAACAGCTAAAGAACAACTTCTAAATGATAGAAATGATTTGGGGAAACTGCTTTGGACCTCAGATGAGCACAGAATCTCTCTGTTCTTTGTTAAAGTGCACATTTCCTCCCATAATTCCATGAAAGTCTGAATGAAGATGCTTCTAACTTTAATGAAATCA